CTGAGCCATTTTCACCATCCAAGGATCCTTCACAGCTTGTCGCTGCTTCTTCTATTCGTCTTTACACTTGTAAGTCAACCTTTTGTTTGACTTTGTGATTTCCATTCTTACGCTACACCGGCTTCTCTCCATGAGCCTCAGACATATAGAGAAGCCGATACAAAGTCTCTCTGGTAGCAACCCATGAGAAATGAATTACATGCTCTGATACCACGTGAGAATTATAAGACCACTACTGACTATTACAAAATTTAAAATTTTTGGATTGAACTTTCTAACATAGTACTAAAGCAGAATTTGCCCCGGCTTATTTCGCGTATGCGGCCTCCCGTTTGTCAATTTCACGCATTGTTCCCAATCAGACTTGCACATGAGAAGGAGTGTTAAAAGTACACGACATTGTTTGTCAATGGGGTTTGCATGGGCCTTATATTCATACGATCTCTCTCCACCTATTAGCTGGGGTTTTTGTATTGACTTTCTGTTGAAGTACAAAAATCAAACTTAGATCTCACGATTCTTGCAACATACTTGTTAACTAGTCATTTCTATTAGCATTTTACCCTACTGTGGAATTCATGTTCTACACTAATGGTGCCCTAGAGAACACAATATTCTTTTTTAACGAGGAAAATCCGGTCCCTTAACGTATTGAGCATAGAAAATTGCACTTAGCATTTGCCAAATTAACTATTGTCATAGCTAGACATTATCAACATTATAATGTACGACCTCTTTAATTAAGCATCTATGCAGTGGTTCCTGCCTCTGTGGAAGTGCCAAATAATCAAACGCACAAATCTTCAATAACAAGATATTGCTGCTAACAATTTAAAAATAATTCGGCCATAATTGGGGAACAATTTTTTTTCACAGCTTATCATATTTAATGGGTGCTAACTTTCTCTGGAGGAATCGTCTTCTAGGTTTTGTATGATGTTCCTTTTTATTAAATATGAGGCATAACTCGCTGGATTCTTGTTCCTTAAACTTTCCAAAAGTCATCGAGGTTTAAACAATGCTTCGTTCTCCCACATGGCTTCTAGTTTCTACCAATCATGATCTTTTGACTTGCGTGATTTTACAACGAATTTGAACTTTAATAAAGACATGGGGTTTGGCAAGAGCAAGCAAGCAAACATAATGATTACTTACCTACTATGTCTTTAGTATTTTTTTGGGGATAATGACACACATGGTCCTTGAACTTTCACCCAATGTGCAATGTGGTCCATGAACTTTTAATTTGTTCAATATGATCTCTGAACTTTTAACTTGTTCAATGTGGCCTTTGGATTTTCAGTACATATTTGATTTAGTACCTAAACTATACGAAAATGTTCAATACTGTCCTCAAAGTTCAAGGACCATATTGCACAAATTAAAAGTTCAAGGACCAAGTTGTACATTAGGTCAAAGTTCACGGATTATTTATGTCATTTTTCATTTTTTGAGGAAGTACGAAAATTTTGTATATTGCAAAATAATCTATCACACTGAAGCAGCTTGGGATGTGAGAACTAAGTTGAAAATATATAAAATAAGCTTTTGAAGCTCATAATTTCCTTAGCCCTTTTGGGCATATAAATTATTAAAATTCTTCTCTTGGTGCTGTTGGTGAATAAAATTCATTTGAGAGATACAATGGGATAAGGCCCATTGGGTTAGGCCCAGATCTTACACAAATGTGGAGAATGGAGATGAACATGTGTTGCCATGATCTTGAAGTCTTGAAGTTCAGTATTGGCGCGAATCATACCTTATTTCTTGACCCTCTATCGCACGAAAATCCGGTCGCATGAAGGAAAACCTAGATCGATAAGTTTGCCCAACTGAGACCCAGCAGCCATCGTGCGATAAGGAGAACAAACAGTGACGATGGAGTTCAACTGTAGGCCTCTGAGGAACAAGGCTGAGTAGATTCGGATAAGGCGGATCTATTATTATCGGACATTGTATTAGGGTTCGGGTGGTTCATGGCCTCCTCCTCCTTCTCTACCAGCACTAAAATGGTGATCTAGTCCTAAATGTGTAATACAAGTCGTGCAATCATACAGACACATCATTTAGTAAATCTATTTAGTATATGAATTTTAGTATTTTTAGCAAATTTAAAAAGGAATACAGACAAAAAAAACCTCTTTTTGTCACTCGCCTCTACTCTTCACCGCCGAGAAGTCATCCTCAAGACTAACCCTCGTAACAATTGCTGCCACTCCTATGTCCATCATCCTCAAGTCACCTACACATGAAAACAGTCTAATACAAACTAAAAAGGTAATTTACCACACCTGAAGGTACATGACGAACTTCAACCTAAGGCACGAACAAATTTTATTAAATGCGAATACGAGAATGTAATGTTATGCAAATATGAGGTCCTTTACGAGCTGTTTAGGTGATTCTTGTAATTTATTAGGTCCTATTCTTCATTACTGTTAGAAAGTCTGACCTAAAAATTTAGGTATATAAGTGGGGAGTGTGTAAGCCGCTCCTAACAAACATGGAACGTGACGAATGATGGTCCGCACACGCGAAATAAATTGGGTGGAACCTGGATCTTATACCATATTTTAGAATGTCCAACCCTAAAGCTTAATCTTATAAGTAAAAGGAGATCATATGCAGATAAAAAGACATCAACCCCAAAATTGTAAAGGTGAATGTTCTTATGAAATTAAATTCTTCAAAACATTCACATAACTTTCCTATGGAGCTCCCAAGTTTCTTTTCTTCTATTATAGTAAACCACCTCATTCGTCCTAACTTTCCTTTATACCTCATTATTATTTTCTTCCAATGATCGTAAATTTTTTTTCTAAGTTCTCGTAAATTTTGTGCTCCGGTGATCGTAGCTTTCTTCTGCTATTCACAATTGTCCTCAATATTGCTATTAACTTTCCTTATTTACTTGTAAATTTGAGGTCGGCTAATTCGTAACGTTCCATGTCGTACTTTGTAATGCTTTTGAAATGATAGTAAGTTCTCTTAAGTTCTCATAAGTTTTTATTATCATAACGCTCCTTTTTCATACGTAATTGTCCTCACTCATAGTATGTCACATATCATGTTCTAACTCTTCTTTATAGGATGTAATTTCCCTTTTAGTGGGCGTAAGTTCACCGTATCCTGTGATTCTTAATATTCTGTAGAAATTAAGAATCCTAGTAACTAGTAACTTTGCTTCTCAATATTATTAAGAAACTACGTAATTGATCGCAATTTCCTTCGGAATTCGTAACTTTCATCACTGATAGTAATTAACCTGTCGCACATGTTTAAGTGACTTTTCTCTATAGAACGTATTTTCTTTAGTCGTCTTAAGTTATGTTCCACAAAAGATGATAACACGTAAGTTTATGTTAAATTCTTACAATTTATCGTTCAGTGATTCTTTTTACTCATCGCGACTTCTCTTGCTTCAATTTAAATTTCGCGTTAACTTTCCTTTAACGTTAGTAAGCTACGACTAAAAATCGATTCTCCATATGGCCAGTTGCATTTTTGAAACAATACAATTCCCTTTTATTTTCGTTCTATTATTTTTCTGACGACGACGACATAGGAAGGCGTGAAGATGATAAGCATGTATTCTAGTGCACGCATTCTTCAATTCATTTTCTTCCTTTTTTGTCTCTCCTTTTGATCAAAAGCACACTTGGAATAGTCCAAAACGTGGTGTCGCTGGGTTCCGGATTCGTGTGTTTCGTCTGTGATGTCGTTTTTCGGCTGAAGATAAGAATAAATTGAATTGAGAGGCGCCGAATTTCAATTTATTCGCATTGAATAATGAAAGAAATGGGGGATAATGTGGCGAAGAAAATGGACCCAATCATATGGTGCCAACTCAGCAAAAGGGTCCAGGTCAACTACCACAACTCTTAATGTATACTTCGTTCTCCAGTTGACGTGGCATTACTAATGACCTAGTGATTTGGAGCAAGACCCTTTCGATGAATTAACTCGACTTAAGTGGGGTAAATTGAATCGATCTACCCTCTCTAAATTGAGAAATATTATATCATAGTTTTTTTTTATCATCGTGAAGAAGTTTGAACTGTAAATCATAGTGGTTCAATCAGCCATGAATGGTTGCACCAATTATGTACCAGATCTTTATATGTAAGCGCTGCGTGAAAAAAGATTGGATTTCTCTTTTGTATCGGTTATGTGAAAAAAGAATCGAATCCTCTAAATATTGGAAGATATATTTACATGTTAACGTTATCCCATCGAGAGGACATATAGACATTGGCAAGGTGGAAATGATAAACACGAGTTGCAACTCCGCAACAATGCACCAAGTTTCATTTTGCGCATTTTTGAAAAAGAGGCAACTCAGTGTTATGACAAAAGATAACAATAAGCACTATCATGATCCTAACCTAAGGATTTACTAAATGATCAAAAAGTAAATAAAATAATGCCGAAAAAGTCCCGAAAGTAGAAAAGTGCTCCAAAACGGGTCTAAACGATGGATTCTGAGAGCCGAAACGACTCTTTTTTTTTGTTACTAATTGTATGTGTTCTTACCCATAAATGCAATTAGTAATCTTTTTTTTTTGTCTTGTCCTACTATAACTCTCAACTCACTCTCAGATTTTTGCCATGCCTCCTTGCAGAGCGTCAAGTCGAAACCCACGCCTGAAACTAAACATCTTCACCCCTAATCCTCTTGAGAATGTGGAGATTCGAACTCCCCACCTCCCCCTTCTCATGTGAGAAGCGTGGCCACTGGGGCAACCCCTAGTGGTTCATAAATGCAATTAGTAATCGATTAACAGAACAAATGGTAATGCTAATGAGTATTTTAGTCATATCCATTAAACATAATTATTATGAACATTTCGATTTCCAAAGTATCGATGGCCCTGCAAGGAGGAGAGTTTCAACAAAAGAAATTCTACCCAAAAAAAATCTGATATTAACTGTGAAGGAGAAACCTAATGGGCACAGAAACAACCGCTCACAAAATGAAATTTCCAATTCGTTCGAGAACTTCAAGAAATACACCCTCTCATCATCGACCTAAACTCTTCAAAATTCACAAAACCATCGCCGTCCCTATCCACCCCTCCAATCATGCGTCTACAGTCCTCAATGCTACAATCCTCTTCACGTCCCAGACCTACCAAAACCCTCTGCAACTCCTTGGCCGATATCAAACCGTCCTTGTCGGCGTCAAAGATCAAGAAAGCATCCATCAAGTCGTCATCGCCGCTCAGCACCGCGACCAAGAACTCGTCCAAGTCGACGTGCCCATCACCGTCGCGGTCCATTTCCTCGACCATCCCCCGCGCCTCCTCGTCTGCCGCCCCCACTGCCCCAACGTGCCCGAGGCGCGATAGGACTCGGCCGAGCTCCGATGGTGAGATCTTGCCATCGCCATTGGCGTCGATGAGGTCGAACACTTGTCTCAGTTGGGTGGAGACCTCGCTTTCTGGGAATGAAGATGGGGTTGATGTGTTGAACTTTGAAGGTGATGGTGACGGTGGTATCTTGGGATGTCTTGATCTCCTGTGCCCTGCGAATGCCTTGCTTGGGTGCTTCAGTTCTTGAAGAAAAGACTTGCAGTTTTTCTGGAGAGAGCTCAACCAAATTCTTAAAGAATCGGTCATGGTTTCGAAGTTCTTTCTACTAGCCTAAATTTTCTTGGAGAGAGGTGTGGTGGAGATGGACAGATGAATGTTATAAAGGTTGAAAGGGTCGATGTATGAGTCCAACCGAGGAAAGCAGATAAATAAGTAAGTGTATTGAAACGAAAAGGATGCCAGATGTCTTAATCCCAATATAGTAAGAGATTTAGCTGGATTGTGCGATGTGTAATTGCTAAATCAATGACTGTAACTCATTGTATTGCTCCTTTAAAGGATAATGAATCCTTTCCAAAGGTAATAAGATGAATTGAGAATTTACTTCCAAGGGATTATTTTCTTGGTCGTCTGAATCATGATGACTATCGGGTATTTCTTCGAGCAATGCTATGTTGGTTATGCAAGTATTTTTGAGTATTTCCTCTCTTCTACTTTTTTCTTTCAAAATTTCTCCTGTTATGGTTTTTTTTTCCTCTCTTCCAAACAAAGTAATATGAGGCGTTGCACGGGACAAGTGCTGAATAAGTCCTAAACCTTTTGGGGTAGTGCCAATTTAGTCATAAACCTATTTTTGGTGCCTATTGAGTCCTAAACCTTTTGATATAGTGCCAATTCAGTCCTTTTGGCCGAATTTTGCTGACGTGGACGTCGGCCGGCCGGCGACTAGTCACCGGCGCTGACGTAGACAAAATTTAATAATATTTTAATATTTTTTTGAATTCTTTTTTTTTTCTTCTCCTTCCTTCAGCCGCTTGCCAGAGCGGTGACCGGCCGGAGGCCAGAGGCCGGCGAGCCTCGCGCTGAGCTGGTGAGGCTCGCCCGGCCCTCGCCATGGTCGGGCGAGGGTCGACCTCACTAGATCCGGCGAGGTCGGGCCTCGCCCAGCCGCCGGCGAGGCTCGCCCGGCCCTCGCGACCTTTGGCGAGGGCCGGGTGAGCTTCGCCGGCGGCTGAGCAAGGCCCGACCTCGCCAGATCCGGCGAGGTCGGGCCTTGCCCAGCCGCCGGCAAGGCTCGCCCGACCCTCGCCAGAGGTCGCAGCGAGGCACGCCTTCATCGTCGCCGGTGAGGGCGAGCCTCGCCAGTGGCCGGCATGGCTCACCCGAGGCCGGCGAGGTCGACCTCGTTGGCCTCTGGCCTCCGGCCGGTCGTCGCTCCGGCGAGCGGCTGAAGGAAGAGGGAGAAGAAAAAAAAATTCAAAAAAATATTAAAATATTATTAAATTTTATCCACGTCAGCACCGGTGACCGGTCGCCTGTCGGCCGACGTCCACGTCAACAAAATCCGGCCAAAATGACTAGATTGGCACTATATCAAAAGGTTTAGGACTCAATTGACACCAAAAATAGGTTTAGGACTAAATTGGTACCACCCCAAAAGGTTTAGGACTTATTCAGTACTTTTCCCGGCGTTGCACACAATTCTCATTTTGCAATCAAGAGAACAAAAAAGCATTCGACATAGACAGACATAGTTGTCATATATTTGGACTTGAATCTCTCACTAGGCAATGTTTACAGAAGGTAGGAGACCCTTGATATGAATTTCTTGGATGTTGTCAAAGTCCAACAAGCATTCTCAAAGATCTAATGATGGATCTATCCTTTACCTCACGAAATTGAACATCTCTTTTTCTTTTCTTACGACGAGAGAACTCATCTAAAGAAACAACGAAATATCTCACTAAACCATGTTGGGTTCACATTTGCTGGGGTCATACTTAATAATTTGATAAGTTGAAAGAGAGGGATTTGGTCTAGACACTGACTCAGTCCCTTCGTTCTTTTCCTGGGCCATCACTGACTCAATCCTTCTTGAAATGGCCAAATTTGGTGGACGCCAGCTTAAACGGTGCATCAAGCGGAAGTGCCGGCAAAGTTTGGGCTCTTCCGCGACTGGAGGAGTGATTCGATTTGACCAAGTTATACGTTGAATGCATCTGAATCGTAATCACGCGATTGGAGTTGATGGTCTTGTGGACGGCCGATGCATTCTGTCCTGTGTTTTGGTGCCATTTATGTATGGACTCGTCCCTTGTAACTGGTCTCTAGAAGCCCGCTCGATCACCTTTCAGGAAGCGCACGTATGAAGTGGACAAAGGCTATTTGACAAGGGCATGTGATTTTTGGACTTTTGGCTCGTCACAGCCATCGCTAAGATTCAATAATTTTGTTTCTCAGATTTTAGCCTCATTGATTGACGGTTCGTAATGATAATGGTTCGCGAAACATGTCGATCAGGGCGACCTGCCAAAGCATTACAAGGCGAGGATAAAGCAACCGTGGGAATACGGAGTATGAACCGTCAGACGTGTAATGATACGCACCCGATTTAGCTTTTGAGAGGTAATCATTTGTGCTTTTTCGGGGTGTAGAAGAATCAAATTTTTAATTCTTTTAAAAGGGGCATATGTTGATACCAAAAAATGGTCATATCTTTTTATCAATGCGAGAGCTCGGTGATAGATGATTATACTATTGACAAGTTGTTAGCCTGTTAATGATCACCTAGTACAGGAGTTTGGTGTTGAGTGGTTAGACTATGGATCGATGGGAACGAAACTTGTCGCTAGCTATGAATGTCGATAACCAAGTAATTATCGACATACGATGACAGCTGATCGATGATTGACACTCAGAATAAATTTAGTTAAGTGTTGAAGACAGAAAATAAAGGCAATAAAGATGCCCAATGTTCCACCATGGAATTTGTGTTAGTTCAGAAATTTCGCTATTCCTCCTAGAAATGTCGGTTTTCTTTACCTGTCCTTACGAGAGGAGTATAACGTCGTCGAAGAGCTCCAAAATGGAAAGATTTGTACAAGTTAGACCTTTCGTCACCACTTTGTGGAAAATCGATAGTTTCAGAAGGTGGCTGGAGAAGTGAGACGAGAGCAGTCTTGGTAAATATGTGGATGGATTGCTTGATAGAATTTACAATTTTAAAGGTGATCGAACTGTCGAGACCAGTTGATATGTTGTCCATGAAAAGCGCATTTACCGGACCTACCTGTATTACTCCTGAGCAGCGCTCGAAATTCGTCCTGGACACCAACCGACTGATTGAAAGCAAATGTCAAAAAGACTTTACTATACGTCCAAATGTCATTTGCTTAAGGATAGGGGAAGATTACAAAAAAAAAAACCTTAAACCTATTCCAATTGTGTCAATTTAGTCATAATTTTTATTACCAATTTAGTTCTAAACCTTTTGTATTTGTGCAAATTCAGTCCATCCAATCAATTTTGGTCGGTCCGTGCTAATATGAACTCCGGCCGTCTAGCTAACGCTAACATGACAATTTTTTTAAAAAAATTTCGAATTTATTTATTTATTTTCTTTTTTTTTTCCCTACAGTTGTTGGCGAGGGTCGTCGACCATTAGACGAGGGCTGCGAAGCCCTCACTGGCTGTGGGTGAAATTGTCCTCAGCCGTGTCGTTACGGCCTGGCCCAAATGTGGGCGAGTCCGCCTTCCACGTGGTCCCCACGCCATGTGCCCAGATTGCGAGGCACAACCGTGACGAGGCTAGCCTTGCGATTTGGGTGCAAGGCCTGGGGACTACATGCGAGGTAGCCTCGCCATGGCCTTGTTGGCCGCAGGTGAAGTCGACCTCGCTAGTGGCGAGCGAGGAGGCCATGGCCTCGCCTAGTGGCCAGCAAGGCTTGCTAGAGTCTCACCAGCCACTGTGGGGAAAAAAAAGAAAAGAAGGAAGAAAAGAAAAGAAAAATATATATATATATTAACAAAACTCCACGTCAGCCGGTCGATCAAAATTGGCAAGTGGTCTGAATTGGTACATATGCAAAAGGTTTAGGATTGAATTAGCAAAAAAAAAAATTTATGATTGAATTTACATAATTTCGATAGGTTTATGACTTTTTGTAATTTTGTAGTCAATATAAAAAATAGGAGAGTTGGACCTTGGAAATGGGGTATTGTTGCAGGGGGTCCATAGTTTACAGGGATGACCTCCTCCACAAAAAAACAAATTGGGCCCAAAATAATCCATATAGAGCCAATTCAATGTGAAGGGCCATGTGGTATCTCTAGAAAAAGTGAAGAAGACATGGCCCGGTTGTAAGTTGGGCCATTGATAAATGTTAAGGACCGGACGGTGATCTAATAAAAAAGATGATGAGCTTAGCTGCATTTCTATGAGATCCGTTGTGTTATATAGAACTATATATAATGGAAGGATGATTGCTCTGTACATAAGATTTCTATACATAAGATAGTTTCCCTATGGTCACTACTTTTGCCTCGTCATGGCCTCATTGGCTACGGGTGAAGGCGGCCTCAGCTGCAGCCGTGAAGGTCCGAGCGAGGCCGACGAGCTTCGGCAACCCTCACTGGACACGGTGAAAAAAAAAAAGGGAAAAGAGAATAAAAGAAAAAAGATAACAAAAAAGAAAAAATTTAATAAAAAATTTGCAAAAATATTAAAAAATTGTCCACATCAGCACTGGCCATGTCATGTCGGATGGCCGGCGTCCACGTCATGTCGGATGGCCGGCGTCCACGTCATGTCTGATGGCCGGCGTCCACGTCATGTCGGATGGCCGGCGTCCACGCCATGTCGGATGGCCTGCGTCTACATCAACGATTTTCGGTCAAAATTGGATAGATAGACTCAATTAACAAAACTTGAAAATTTTTGGGACTAACCTGGCATAATTGAAAGGTTTAGGACTGAATTGGTACAAATGTAATAGATTTAGGACTTTTTTGGTAATTATCCCGAACTTGTTCTTACTTCTTCTGCTTATTCATTGGAGAAAAACCTGATGAAATATCTGAGTGTATTATCTGTGAGACCTTTAGTATAATCATTGTTAAAGAACACTTTGAACATAGAGTAAAGTGCGTTTACTTGTAGAATGAGCTACGGTCTCTCGATTTAGAGGCAACTACTCTATAAACGCTGTCGAAGGCATTGAGGGTTACGTGGTGGATTCTAGCCTCGTTATCGAGCTGTTAAAGCTGGGATAGTGGAGCAAGTCAGGTGGAACAGTTGAACTATTATAAATTGCATTGTAGTCTCTTCCATCCTTAGTCTCTTTATAATTTTTGTTGATAGAAGA